GAATTTGATAGAGAGAGAGAGAGAGTTTGATAGAGAGAAAGAGAGTTTGAGAGAGAGAGAGAGAGAGTTTGAGAGAGAGTTTGAGAGAGAGAGAGAGAGAGTTTGAGAGAGACAGAGAGAGAGTTTGAGAGAGACAGAGAGAGACACACACAGAGAGAAACAAGATTGGACAATAAATAAGATTGGGCAATTTCTTAATTTCTTTTGCATTAACATGGAATATTTCTGATGGGAAAAATGCTAAGAAGTATTTTAATTATTCCATCCTTATTCTGTGAGGCTTTTAAAAATAATGTTCACCCAACCTTACCCATAAAATAGCTTGAAACTAGTGTCTGATGGATGCCAAATTGTAAAACTACACGTTCGTTTTCAAGTGAGCTGAGGTAACTCTACTGACAGTTTTGCCCACATGCCTCAATTATATTAGAATCGGTGATACAAAAAAAAAAGTTTTTTTTACATTGCCTTATTAACTCTTAAGGGAACAAAACACTTATATCCAAAATCTTACCTATCTTGTTGTGACAAAAGGGGTTTTGAAAATAATAACTAAGGCTTAATTGGTTGTATCTTGGATATCAGTTGATCATAGAAAAGATCAAAATATTTTTAAAAAAACCTTGCTTTTTAAAAGTTTCCTTGCATTTCAACATTTAACATTAAACATATAGACTAAACCAAACACACAAAAAGAAGCTATGCAAGGAAGCCAAGTCATTCTCCTGGAATTCCCCGCAAAAAATGGGATTGGGGTGCAGAGAAAATGCCATAGCATTTTAGCTCTGGTTACGTGACCTGATTTTAGAGGAAACAGTGCATTTCATAAAAACCCCTGGGCTGCTGAATGAGTGATATGGATTTTAATTACTTAACGGTGCCAAATGTTGAAGCTTGACCAAACAGGATCACCTCTTCCGAGGAAGAGGCAATGAATATAACAGGGAAATGCTATCCATTTTCTTTTCCATATGATATGGCTGAGTGCATTAAGGGCAGGAGGAAACTAATGATGCATTTCCTCATAGTCCAGTGATCATGCTGTTCAGTTGGACATTGGGAAAAGCAAAAAAAAAAATCCCTCTTTACTTGAAAGTAACCTCTACTCTGCAGCTAAGCTTGCAATGTAATTGATAAGTCGAGGCTCTTCTCAATGCTACAAATAAAATGCCAAGAGTTCGAGGTCCTATAAACTCTTCCATCGTAAAGCCAATGTAGAAAAACAAGACTCTGCCCCTAGGAGATGTGCCTTTCATTTTACAGGTTGAATTGGCTTAGACTGAAAGAGAGAACAATTCAGACAACCCAGTATTAAACAAGAACCATGCGAATGTTAGGTCGCAAAGAGAGTGGTCTTTCCCCACTTCCGAAGTCTTCCCAGGTGCACCAAAGGGAATCGGAGCATAGCCATCCTGTGATACAGGTGGCCACGTTCTGGGGATAAGTAGCTCCACAAGGAACCTGGCCTGATGCCCTGTAAGGCTTCGGTTCTTTGGCTTTATGCTTTCTTGCCTATATGTAAATGGGTGGATTGGATTATGAAGGCATGTGTGGCCCAAGCTTCAACCTGGGAATCTATGGCTCCTTAGATGGAAAAGATGATACTCTTGCAATGGTCGTTCATCCAAATAAATCTTATGCAATGGTAGCACTTATCAGTTCAGTTTGGAAGAAGGCCACTTGAGAGACCGCCTGCTGCCAATTACCTCCCACAGACCCATTAGATCTCACAGGGTTGGCCTCCTCCGGGTGCCATCTACCAGCCAATGCCACCTGGCTATTACCCGGGGGAGGGCCTTCTCTGTGGCAGCTCCGGCCCTCTGGAATGAGCTCCCCGCAGGGATTTGGACCCTCACCTCTCTCCAGGCCTTCCGGAAAGCCGTCAAAACCTGGCTTTGCCGGCAGGCCTGGGGGTGATGAGTTCCCTCCCCTCTTGACATGTATGGTTGTGCGACTCTTGTCTACTTTTATTATTTGTATTTTGTCTTTTATGTTCCCCCTTTTTTCCCCCCTTGAATTGTTTGCCGCCCTGAGTCCTCCCGGAGTCCTCCCGCATACAAATAATACAATACAATACAATACAATACAATACAATACAAGGCATGGGAAAGAGTGCCAGCTGATACCAGCCATTCTTGCCTGGGTTCATTTTATCTGTACAGAGCTCCAACCAGAATAATCTCTCAGTATTGATTATACTGGGCAGCAGGGGTGGGGAAATATGATCCACTAGGTGAGAGATATACCTGTTTTGCCCTTTTCTGGCATTGGAGTCATATAGCCTTCTTCATCCAGCTCGGTTCTTGGCCCTCGCTCTGGGATAAAAACTGTCGGGTCAGCGCTATACCTCTGAGTGACACTGTCCTCTTGTGAAAGACTTGCCACTTGTTTCCGTAGAGTACCATTGCAGCAAGTGTCGTCACAGATCTCAGCACCTCCTTGCCTGATGGAAGCTTCTGGAGCTATGCCTGGTATGGCAGTTCTGTATGGCAAAGGGACGCCTTGTTCCGTAGACAAACTTCCATCTCTGTAGATAAACTGATTCTATAAGAAACATAAAACACCATGTGAAAAAACCTTGCAGAATTAACATTACAGCTTAGTTTCATGCATATAAGACGTTCAATTCCAGCCTTCTGCAAAGCAACCAAGACCTGGCTATTCCGGCAGGCCTGGGGCTGTTGATTTTGTCCAGCCCCATCCTAAATTGTGAATGTTGTGATCTTTTAATGTTGTCTTGTTTTTGTATGTCCTTCCCTTCCCCTTTTTTACTTGTAAGCCGCCCTGAGTCTCTTTGAGAGTGGGCGGCATACAAATTAATTAATTAAATTAAATAAATAAGTAAATTATTTGCTCAACAGGCACTTTTGCTATGCAGAAGTTTTAGTTGTAACTGTTTCAGTCAACATTACACAAGTTTTTTTTTAGTTTGTTGTTTGACTTTGCAAGCAAAGGAACTGCGTGAATTCCACATGCATAGGTTTGCATTATTGCTGGATTCAACTCAAATTCCATTGGCTTAAAGTAATTCAAGATGCTTAGTTTATGCTTTTCAAATATTACACTTCAAAAACTGAAACTCAGTGCATTGTTTCTTGGATTTCAGATTACCATACAAATAATCTGCTACCTCAAATAAGAGCCCAACCCTAATCCATCAATCTATGACTGCCAAATCTAAATTCAACATAAAATGTAAATAAATCAGGATCAGATCCCATTTAACATATTTCCAGAATCTGATGATCTCTATGTTATTTCTGTGTTGTTGTTGTTTAAAAAAAATAATCCCTAGTATTACAACACATTACCTTCTATGTTCACGCTTCTAGGGTCTGTAAGCTACCTTCCATCCCTCAAAACCTGGTCTGAGAAATTGTGCTACATTTATCCCTGCCAATTCATTTTGCATTTCCTAGAATTTCTCAGATGCTTTTGCCAAGATAAATCTCAACATTTCACATAACGCGAAATGCAATGGAAAGGACACCAAATATCCTAACTCTGGAAATTAGTTGGGTTGCAGAAAGATTCCTTCAGTGACCTCCGCAACTGAGGCCACCTTAGTAGTCCTCTATAGGAGAGGGTAGAGGGGAAAGTATGCTGGCAGAAGGCATTCACACACAGGGCACAAGTGTCTTTAGAGCAAGGGATATTTATGTATACCCAGATGACTTCTGTTCTTTATCCTGAATTACTATAACAATACTCGTATAAGGTGTATAAAGTTTGTACAATTTTGTATTTTGAAATTCATCTAGCACTTTATATCTCCTTTACTAGGCAATTACTTACTACACAATAGAAACATGCTATAAATGTTGGTCACTGAGAATCACTTTACTTTCCATTAAATGATTGGGTGTTTCATATGTGAAAGCATTTTTATACGAGCATCCAAATTTTGTTTTAAATAAAACTCAAGAGACAAAAACATTCTATCCTTTCCCCCCTTTTTGAATTAATTTATTAGTTTTAGCAACAATAACATAATTATAATAACATGAAACAGTAGGCTGATTGAATTAGAGCCGAGGTGGCGCAGTGGTTAAATGCAGCACTGCAGGCTACTTCAGCTGACTGCAGTTCTGCAGTTCGGCGGTTCAAATCTCACCGGCTCAGGGTTGACTCAGCCTTCCATCCTTCCGAGGTGGGTAAAATGAGGACCCGGATTGTTGTTGGGGGCGATATGCTGACTCTGTAAACTGACATAGGACTGAAAGCCCTATGAAGCGGTATATAGGTCTAACTGCTATTGCTATTATGTATTACTACTTAACTATGTATAACTGGACTGGTCTAGAAGAGCAGCAAGAATGGCACAGAGACAGGAGCAGTGCTGACTCCTGGCCATCATTCTCTTGGAAGGAGAAAATCTTTGAACAGAAGATAATACTAATAATACTAATTACTACTACTACTACTACTACTACTACTACTACTACTACTACTACTACTACTACTACTGATTTTATCAATAGTAATAGGAGCCCTTGGAGCAATACCTAAAGGGCTACCTCGCTATTTGGAAATTTTAAATTTATCAGACTTGAACATTCTGATTCTACAAAAAACCACCCTACTTGGAACAGCTTATATCCTCCAATGTTACCTTAACAGTTCCTAGGTTCTTGGTTAGGACTCGAACTGTTGAGTTACCAACCAGCCCCAAAGGCTGTGAATCTCACCAAAAGTTAGATTAACCAAATAATAATAATAATAATAATAATAATAATAATAATAATAATGATGATGATGATGATGATGATGATGATGATGATGATGATGATGATCATCATCATCATCATCATCATCCATTGGAATTTGTGCAAAAATTATAATATTAAAACAGCAACAAACTGGTGGGAACATCAGCCTGAAAAAGTCACCGAAAATCAGATGGTCAAGATCTTGTGGGATTTCCGTATACAAACCGACAAAATACTGGCGCATAATACACCAGACATCACACTGGTTGAGAAAAATAAGGTCACAATCATAGACATCGCTATACCAGGTGATAGCAGGGTCGCCGAGAAGGAACATGAAAAAATCGCAAGATACCAGGACTTAAAAATCGAAATTCAACGACTATGGCACAAACCAGCAGTGGTAATTCCAGTGGTAATTGGCACACTGGGTGCTATTCCAAAAGCACTGGAATTACATTTAAAACAGTTAAAAATTGACAAAATCACCATCAGTCAAATGCAAAAAGCCGCACTGCTTGGATCTGCACGCATATTACGAAAATACGTTACGACGTCCTAGGCCCCTGGGTGAGGCCCGACTAGTAACCAATGCCAAATCCGGCGAAACAACTGGCCGCTGTGATACAATTGTATAATAATAATAATAATAATAATAGGAGTGAACTTATGTATGCCAATTCTGGGGCTGATATATAATTCTCCTTATTTCAGGAGCATGATTTGAAATCTTTGAAAACCATCCAATCTCTCCCACTCCTCTCTGAGAATGACGATCTATATATCACATGATGTTGGAGCTCGGATGTCAGCAGGCAAACACTGGAAGAAATTTAGACAATCATCTGGGGCAGCAGAAGGCTTCTTTTATTCTTGAATAGAAGATCTGAACTATCTAATGGATTCCAAGCTATCTTCCTTATCACCTTAAGATTATTGTTTAGAGTACAGCATTTAACATCATTATTTAAAACAACTATAATTGAACAAGTATTTCTTTATATTGTTCCAGGAATGAAATTTATCAACTTGGTTGCTATTTTTCATAAAACAAGAGGAAAGGACAATGTTCTGGAATGTTTAATTTCTTGAAAAATTAACTATCAGTTCTTGTGGTACTCATTAGAACCTTTTAAAGTTAATCTTTTAAAGAAATTACCATAGCTATAACTAATGCCTATTCAGTAACCTTATACTGCATTTTCTGTAGATCTGTATGTGCATTGTTCTTTGAATCCATACAAATATATTAAATTATTTCCTTTCACGTTTATTTTTTATATTTGCCTTCAAGCTATATGAACTCTTATGAATTAAATGTGACAATTTTTGGTTGTTTATTTGATTTTTGTTTCGTTAGGTTTATCAGGTATCATAAAAGCTAATTGTCCCCCCAGTTGTTTTATCTGATTCCTTTTTTTTCCAGAGGTGGTTTAAACTTATGAAGGTTTTTAATGCACAAAGCTTTTTCAGTATCATTAAACCAAACTAAACTAGAACAGGCACACCCGTCCTAGTTCCAAAAAATATTACGGACCAAAGATAACACTTTGAATCCCCCAAATACTGTTAGAATTAAGGATAATCTTACAACATTCAGCACTCCCTAATTTTATTATATTATTAGAAGTTGTAACCGTACAATGTCCAGAGACCCCTGTTCAACCGTTCAAACAAAGCAAAAAAATTATTGTTAAGGCAAATAATCTCTAGTAACATCTGATTCTATCCTAGAATTTTCTGTTAAAGTTAATGAAATTTATGCTATTCAGCTGGACTCAGCAACAAAACACGATTCAGCTCTCACCTTGGAGAACGAGAGAGTAGATGGGATGGTGGAATTCATGAAGAGAGAAGAAGGAGGATACATTTAAAAGGACAAACAAATCCTAAAAGATGAAGGTTGATCGTGAAATACTTACTCCTGACATTGGGGTGTAGGCAGGAGGAGGGCTGTGTCCAATTTCACTCTAATAGGAAAGAAAAATGGAATGACCAATATAGTAAGAGGTTACATGGATGAAAATAAGTCATATGAATTCTGTGAATTGGTGGAAAAACCATGAACAAATTAAAGAGATTTATTCAAACACCAGTCAAATTCACCCCCTTCTTGCTCAACACATCTCGAGAGGGAGTTTTGTGTGAGCTCAGGGTACGGAGGTTTTGACTGTAGAATAATTAAGGAAAGCCTGAAAAGAGGTGTAGGACTTTTTTGCCCCAAAGAATGATTAGCATTCAGCAGGTCCCTCTAAAATGAAGATTCAAATGGGAGGATCTACTACTACTCACCTGGTCTAAAAGGAAGAGAAAGAATATATCGCTTAACAATGAAGACAACACATAGATTTTACTTGGATAATTATATAACCACACAATATTCATTCTCTATAGCCTGGCTAAAAGACAGCAGATAAAAAGAAATACCTGCCCTATGGCAGATTTCCAATGAAAATATGATCACAAAATTCATGTGCTCATCATATTCAATAACACAGAAAGATAAGGCTCTATTAGCAATAGCAATAGCAGTTAGACTTATATACCGCTTCCTAGGGCTTTCAGCCCTCTCTAAGCGGTTTACAGA